TGGTGCGTATTTATATATATATATATATATATATAAATACGCACCAAAAACAGATGCCTTATAGAACTTAAAAACAAAAAACACATAAAACTACATAAAAGCTGGAACCAGTAGCAAATGCTGTAACTATACACTGGAATAGATATGGAAATATTAGAAACGTGCTTAAAAGTCATACCACTGATATTGAATTAAATTATATTGCGACATATAATGATATTGAAATGTTGTCCAGCCTTAATAAAGTGTAAACCATGAATTATTTTTCCTTCCACTTCATTGCTATTTTCTACAGTGATTTGATCTATTCCATTTAAATGCGTAGATGTTTGTGACTTTAATAGTATAGAATGTAAAACCAATCTCAGCTTTGCAAGGCATTGCAGATAGTGGTAAATAAGTGGCATGTAATGCAAACAGGTTACAACGATGAATTGTGTTTCTAAATAACTCATGAACAAAACCTGCAAACAGATAAACATTCAATAACATTTGCTTTATGAGGCACATCAGGCCTCACATCCCTAACCAGCAAGGATGTCTGTTTATTTATTTATGCATATTAAATGATGATGCATTACTCACCTCATACTCTTGGGAGAGTCTCAGGTTGTCATTAGCTTTCAGCAGCTCGATGTGCTCAGCCAGCTCGCTGATGGGGATGGGGGGGTGGCTCATCATTCCTGCATTACACAGCCAGGTCAGAGTTGATGCAATATTCAACTAAATAAACCCAAATAACTGAGGATCGACTTCACTTTTATGCAACAATGTGAGGATAATTACACAAAGAAGTAAAAATCACATGTCATTATGGAGCACGCTGAGGCAGAAAATCAATTATGATCCATATGTGTGGACAAGGCGAAGCGAGCCGAGTGGTTTGTTTGTGATTTATTTTTTATTTTCTTTTGATAAATTGCTTTCACCATGTTTAAAGGAGCGGTGACATGGAGAAAACAAACACAGACAGAGCCCTAATTAGATGAGTTGAACGAAAGCACCTAAAGGAAGCTACCTATGGCTACTTCAATAATTTCTTTTCACAGCTAGAGAGAGAAAACGGAAGCTCCTGCAATCTATCCTCATTTTAAAAAAGGTGAGTGCTTACATCAGTGAATCATAGCAACATTTCCACCTTAAAAAAATAAATAAATCCAAGCCTGAGGCACGCTGCGTGTTTCTCCGGTTTTAAAATGACTGAGATGATTTTGCTTTGCAGAAGTTAACCATAGCAAACCCTGATGCCGTCATGGCCACCCCGACAGCGGACACATTCAGACAGCTTCTGCTGGAGATGAATTTCAGCAGTGCAGAGCCATCTCAAAGGCACTAATCTCCCGGGAGGAGAAGAAGAAGAAGTGGGCGAGGTAGGAGTCTCAAGGTTGCTGCCACACACGAAGGATAAAAAGTCTTGTGATGAAAGAGAAGAGCCAAGGTGATGCAGTCTGTGGGGGTTTTCTTTGCTTCCCGACAACATGTAAAAATAGAATAAGCCTTTATCTATTGATTTAAAAAAGTCTAATTTGACCTTTGTTGTAAGCTGACAGGTAACCTTTATCCAGGTAGACAGAGCTCAACACTTCCTCTAAACGAGATGCTGTGGTAGCAGGAAGCTGCTGCCATTAACAGAACAAAAATGGAGATTTTTTTTTCACATTATTTGAGTATGAAGTGAATGGAGGAAAGGAAAAGGAAGCTTCCTTGGATGTGACTAGAGAAAGATGTCAGATCTCTTTATGTATGGCAAGCCATATTTTTTTTTCATCAAATGATCACCATTAACCAACAACACATTTTATTTTTACTTCAGGAGCTCTAATGCTGCTCCCTACAGCCTGGCATGTGGGACGTGGGCAGACGGAGATGATGAGATTTTTGACACAAACGTTGTGACTCAGACATGACTAATCACTGACTGTACTACCTGGGCAGCAGCCATTTTTGATCCTGAAGCTGCCAGGTATGAGCTGCTCCAATGGGGGATTGGGGGCAACTTTTTAAGTCTTTTCTGCATATTTTAATAGTGGATAAAATTAGCTGCATTAATATTTTATTTCTGAATTCATCTAAATGCGCCCTTGGAAGTAGGCTTTATCATGCAAATATAGAGAGCATGTCTGTGAGGGTGCAGGCTTCATACCGGGAGTCTGAAAATTGATGCGTCTCATCTCTACGGGGTCTGTCGGGTGATGGGCCATCATCTCTGCATTGCTCAAGAGGCTTTTGGTTCCTGGTTCAGAGTCTTTGCGTTTGCTGTTCAGACACCAGTTAAGGGAAATTTAAAAAAAAAAAAAACATTAGCTATTACACCCAACCAGCTTGACTCAGCAATGAAAGATCATTAGCATCTCCGTTTGAGTCAAATAAAAAGTGTAAAAGCACACGCTGTGTTTAACGGATTTGTGCAAATTCTTGTTATAGTATCCAGTAGCATGTAATTGCCGTGGGTTAAAAAAAGAACAAAGAGTCCAAAATTGGATTAATCTTACCTGTCAGGTTTGCTGCTTCCCATGAAACAAGAGCGAGGGTCGGAACAATTAGAGGCAGAAAGGGAAGGAAAGAAAGAGATTGTTTGAGAGATAAATCGATATAGTTGCATTAGTATTCAAAAGCCTGATAACTTGCAGCACACATTGCAGCGAATGGCAGAGCTCAGGCTTTGATGGCTGTCTGCGGGCAGAACAGACTTCTAGACTGGAACAAATTTGATGGATTTTGGACATTTTGATGAGAGAGGTAGAGCAGTAAACAATTCTGCTGACCGGAATATCAACAAGAGCTGCAAGCAGATAAATAGTAGTGCAAGAGAATGTACGATGTTGTATTGTCAAAAATCTTCAATGCAAACTGATTTGAGTAGAAATTAATGCTTTTCTGTTTTTCACAGGTAAAAATCTTAAGAGGGTGGAGTAAATTCTAAAGCCCCTTTCGCACCGAAAAGAATGCATTGACCCGGGTTTTTCAAACACGGGTCCTTCTCACTGGCAAAAAAAAAAAAAACAGCTGGGTCTAACCCCTTGCTGGCAAGCTGCCTGACTTCTGTTCCTCTGTCTTGTGACACCATCAACCTGGGTTAGCGTTGATGATGTCACCACTGTGACAGAAATCAAGAAAGTAAACAATGTAGAGAAACATGTAAGGAAACCAAGTTGACTTTATTTTTTTTATCTTTTATTGTCTGTATCCCTCTCACTTGTGCTGCACTATGTTTATCGAATATAAACAGGGTTGTTTTGGCTTGTTAGTTGACGTCTGTTCAATGGTATCACGTAATTTAGCTGCTCAACCCTGCTCAGGTGTTTCAACAGAATGCCGATCAGAGCCGAGGCCATTTTAAAGCGGGCCGCTTGCCGAGTCATATGACCTTGATAGACATGCGTCAGTGAGCTGTTCCCACTGCCACTAAAAGCCGATTGCTCCTAGGTTTAAACTGGTTTTTCAGCCAGTGTGAAAGGGGTATAATTAGACTATCAAGACTGTTGAAATGAGTGCAATTTCTTCTCTTTATATGCACAGACACTTTATAAAGTAATCAGAGGTGTGTTATAGAATTTAACCACAAGCCATTAATTAGTCAATACAACTTTGGAGATGCGGCAGTGATGTACTCAGCTACAGTTGAAGTTGAGACTCTGTTTATGGGCCAAATATCAGTCATGCACCCCATAAATGTGGTCTTTTATCAAAAATGGCAAAATACAAGAAACTGCTTATAGAAATAAGAATCTGTATTCTAATTAACCACAACACTCATCAGCAAAAGCGGAAAAATAGCAAATCTTCTTTTGGGAAGTAAGCTTGTATGAGCAATGCAAACAGCAACTTTTAAACAGAGCATGCATGAAGAGAAATGGGCTTGTCCATGCTCTTGTACAAGTTTAATAGGTGTTCCCTCTCAGGAGTGGGTACAGTGTTGTGCGTGTGCAATTTTTTAAAAAGTGGAGAGTCTTTTCAGAAGTTCGCAAAAATCCTCCATTATACCTAAATTGTTTTAAGTTTGATTAACTTAAGTTTTCAAGCATAAATTTAAATAATTATAAATACATGTGATATCTTTGCATCATTTTATTGATTGTGGTTTCAACCATGTGTTTTTCTTCTTCTTTGTCAACATTTTAGTTTATTATAGTTTAGTTAAATTTCACTAATTTGGTCAAGTTTCTAGCTGAAATATGTTTTACTTGGAGCTGAATGTTTTTCTTAACACATTTATTTTGAATAGAAGATCTTAACTTATTCTATATGTGTGGAGAATTATCTTTTTGACCATAAATTGAGCTCTCTTCACACATTCATTTGTTGTTCTAACACACAGCGTACTGGCTTTTTACAGAACATTATGTAAATAACATGCAGTATTTGCCACCCCTATTGGTGTGGACATTAAATGTATTACAATGACATAACAACCCAAGTTTGCATGTTCTCCCTGAGCATGCATGAGTTCTCTCCGGGTACTCCGGCTTCCTCCCACAGGCCAAAAAACATGACTGTTAATTGGTTTCTCTAAATTCTCCATAGATGTGTGTGTGTGTGTGAGTGGTATTTTGTCCTGTTTTTCTCTGTGTTGCCCTGCGATGTACTGGTGACCTGTCCAGGGTGAACCCCGCCTCTTGCCCGAAGACAGCTGGAGATCGGCACCAGCACCCCTCGAGACCCCGCTTTTGATAAAGATGCATGGATGGATGGACGGATATAACAACCCCAATAAATCATTTACATTTGTGGCTATATGAAAAAATTTCAGGTGGTATGAAGACTGTTGAAACATAGTTTTCATTCTTGATGGCGTTGCTTCATCGTCAAAATATTCCTAAAAATAGTTTATGTATAAAACTACTGGGAGAGGGTGTGAGTCTGTGATTGATTGGGAACAAAGTAAGAGGCAGGAAATACCCTCACAGAAATCTCCTCTTCTATTAGAAAAGCACAGACTAAAGCTTGTCTCATCCTCTAAGAAAATCAAAGCTGCTTTGGCATTTACTTGTTGCGACTAATGCTCTGAGTCATCGCTGTTGTTGAAAACTTGACATTTGTCTTTTATGAACTTTCTGACACTCACTTTTTGTACAGGAGGATAGCAATAACAATGCAGATGATGAAGACGACTGCCAGGACGGGTCCGACCACCCAGATCAGACCATCACCGGCGTCAAAGGGCTGAGGGTCTGAATGCGGGGCGATCACCTTCTCAGTGTATTGGCTGGCCACGTACATCCTCTGTAAAGGAAAAACACTGTTAACTTGTGTTTCTTTGAGACATAAATATAAACTCTAGCAACGACCACAAAAGGATTAAAATCAATAATGAGGATGTCTTTAAATTCTTTATCCACTTTTATTGCAGTCACATAATTATCTATTTAGAATAATTTCTCTGTTAACTTAGAAATACTTTTGCATTATTAAACCGCTTTAAGGCTAAAGAACATCCTATATTTTTTAAACCATAGGCAACTAGATTTTTATATAAAATCCTGACAGGTTTTAAAAATGTTGTAATGTCATATGCTCTATCATGCTTAAGAAAGGAATAGGCACCGCAGCATCACACATTCTTCTTCATACTATAAAAAAAGGGTGGGGGATTTCCCATAAACAAATTTATTTTTTAAATCTTTTGTAAGAAAGTTGATCTTACTCTCCAGTCTTCTTTTTAAGTCCAAGATAAATTTGTAAAACCTAGAAATGGCTTTTCTCAAGCTTGTCTCTCACATAGCAAGTTTCTTTGCTCCACTTCACGAAGTGATTTGTTTGGGCAGCAAGATAAACATGCTTTATCCAGGGTTTTTTTCCCCAATAAAAATGTAATAATTACTTAATTATTTTTAATTGTTTCTCTGGCTCTCTTGTCTGCCCTAAGTGAAAATGTCCTTAACCATTAAAATATGTTTGCGATGGGTTTGATTTTGAAGTCAACAAATGTCAGGAGCTGATGCTGTAAAAAGTTATCACTGTACCCCTCTATTGAAAAAATGTGGTTGATCAAAGGTTGTATTATCTTTTCTTTTCAGTGTGCTTTTTGTATTCTGTGGCATAAAGAGATGAACTCATTTCCAGTCTTTGCATTATTACAGAACTGTTGCAATGGATTGCATGAGACTGAACAGACATAACCAATTTAATGTGAGGATGTGATAACATGAAGGACCTGCCTACTCTTTCCGAGGTCTGAACCGCTGTGTTGTATTAGCTCTGAAGAGCTTCTGAAAAATATCCTTTGGGCATTTGTTCACTTCTAAACTCTATTATAATTCATATTACATATGTATGTCTTTTTGGATTGAAATGCGCTAATACGCCAGCAGTGCACTGAGGACTCTCCTCCTTTGCCACAGTAAGTAAACCCCCTCTTTATTAGCAGTGAGAGGTTTATTGCATTTGCCTACCACACTTTGAATGACGGGAATTATATTGTTTCAGCGGCGCGGCCGTATTGATCACGACACATAGAGACAGCCTGCAGGGGAGAAGGAACCAGGAAGGGTTGGTAGGCAAAAAAAGAAAATAAAATGCAACAGAGTGGTGTTTGTACCCCTGATGTAGAGTTGAGCTCCACCAGGATGAAAAACACGTACTCCTGGCCCGCTTCTAGAGCTCGGTTCTCATAGCCTCCATAGTCCAGCTGGTCCCCCAAAGAGAAGAAGGCGGGTAGAGTTGCAGGTGTGAAACGGGCTGTGATGTAAGCCCGCCTCAAATCCACCTGCTTCTGCTGCCGAGAATCTCTTTGCCTTTGACTGATGTCTTTTAAGAGCTTCAAAGAGAAAGAAGATGCAGAGTCACTCCTTCTAAAATCTATGATTGACACTTAATATTAAAATTGGTAATTATTTCCAGAGGTTCTTTGAGAAGGGATTGTGAGTTCTTTCAATATGTGTTGTAATTTTTGGGGTTCTCACCTCCTCTAGGTCCATTTCATCTGGACTTTTCGGTTGTTTGATGACGCCACGAGCTCTACGCAGGGGAACCACGACAACATAAATGTTCCTGTTGACACAAAAGAGAAAAAATAATAATACTTGGAGTTGTTCTACCAAATAAATAACCTGCCCATGTCTAAAATACTCCTTTCCCTTCTATCATCTGTTGTGAGCTAAAGACTCAGATTGATCCAATAAGCTGAAGAACGTACTTGACAGGCGTACGAGTTTCCAGCAACGGCAGGATAATGGTGACGGTGGCCTCTGTTTCACGGCGGCTCGGGTCGATCTCAGGGCGACGGATGGTGATTGGTGGGGATGTTTTGGCTGTGATGCGGTGGCGAAGGCCTCCCATGTTGCCCTCTGCAGCAGTGATTTTAAAGTCGTAGCTGGTGTCGGGATTAAGATTTGTGATGACTGCCTTTTTAAGACGCGCGTCCAGGTCCATCTTATGACGGTTATACTCCACCTGGACGTTTGGAAAAGTTAGATGAATGTAACATTTCTCTCCTGATATTACTATATCGCCACCCATTTAAAGAGTGAAAATAATGTATATCTTATAGTGGCTTTAAAACAACAATAAACAGTTAACATCTTTTTTATTTTTTATTAAAAAGATCGCCCCCTCCCCCCCAAAAAAAACAAACAAAAAAAAAATAAAATAAAAAACAAAACAAAACTTTGGCAAATTTTTAACCTCATTTATAAGCCAAGTTTTACTTCTTTTTTTTTAATTTCTCTATACTTTTGTACCAGTTCATTTATGTAAAGCATTGCATTTATATTCTTTTCTCATAAGTAGTTTGATTAATGGTGGATCAAAATGTCATAAAATTTTTAAATCTCATATAATAAATGTTATACTATATATCACTATCTTCAAATTTTATATGGCAACCTATTTTCAATTAATTTTCATTCTAAACCCAATTTCAGCCCGAGGGCTCTTATAAAATATGATCTTTGATCAAACCAAAGAAGCTATTAGGGTGATCCTACTGGTAGATATCATTTTATCTGAGTCAATTCTACATTTGATGTAGCAGACTAAGTGGAATATAGAAAACTACTTTAAATTATTGGTTCTCAAAGTGGATAAAAACATCTTCCTGGTGGGTAAATTTGTTGAATATTTTTAATCCAAAGTAAATTACTAAAACTACACTGGTATGAAAACGGGTGAATTCAAACTATATGAGCCACTGTGTTGTGCCATGCAGTTTACTGCTTCTGTCTGACATGTTAAGCACTTGATCCAGGTTAAGACATACAATGAAGGGATAAGGGTTGCTTGTCTCTGGAAAGTCCCAGGTGAGAAGAACGCTCGTCTTAGTGGCCAGATTGACGGAAAAATTTCTCGGCACATCTAAGAAGCAAGCAGAGAAACAAAGACAAAAAAAAATAAAAAAACAATTGTTAGATATCAATTATCAACATAAGAAAATCATCTAAGGATTATCTGTGTTTCCGGCGGAGTCCTGCTGAGGTGGAAAAGAGTCTGACATGTTACTTGGACAGGAGTACATAAAGGTAAAGAGAATGGGAGGGTGATGAGGAGAGTGGATGACATGAAAAGTAAGTAATGGACGGATTGGCTGCAGTAATGTGACGTGCCACACTTATCAGAGTGGAAGTTTGTGTTTGGATGTACTCAGAATTCAGCATGTCAGCAAGGCTTCGGAGAAGGTGGCAGTGAAGGTCTATCAGATAAGAAACGGCTTACCTGCAGATACAGCACCAGGCACCAATTTTCCCTTTAAATGAGACCAAACACTCACCTCCTCTTGTAGAAACTGTAAATCCAGGGTCCGATATTGACTTTTACCTGAGGGTTTGTGATAAGCAGTGCTCTTGAAGCAAACATCCATTAACTATGAGCCTGCTTCCACTGCTGGTGAAGGGTAGGTGATGAAGGTACAAGTGAGTGAGTGGAGGAGATAAAGGGGTGGGAGCGGTCATGCCCCTCTGGGATTTGCAGTTCTCCTTCTCTTGGGGGTGCGCTGGTGAAAAGTGGACCTGTAAAAACTGGCCCAGACTTGGTTTTAGTTTAGTGTCTCAAGGTGGACTCCAGGATGAGGGGAGGAGTGACGTTTAACCAGTGCTTAGGGGCTGAAAGGTGTTCCCTGGGCCTACAGCCAGCCATACCTGTTTCAAAGGCCAGGGTGAGGTACAGCAGAGCGGGACTGAAAGGGCCTGGCCCTGCCTGGTTGTGGGCTCTGAGCTTCACCTCATAGGCTGTACTGTGATTCAGACCCAAGATGGTGTAGCTGGACTCGCTTGCAGGAAGCGTGATGAGCCAAGGGGGAACGGAGGAGGCCGGTGAGGCAGAGGAGCCCTGGTCAGCAGCCTGTTTGTAAGCTATAGTGTACTCTGTAACATCGCCGCTGCACTCATCTGGGGTGGGGGGCAGCCATGAGAACTGAAGGGAGCAGCAGCTAGCGTTGACGAAATCAATCATTTTGGGGTATTCCGAAGGTGGACAAATGGGAACAGTTATTTCCTGCTGTGCCGCATTTCCATAGCCCGCTTGGCTCTTTGCAGAGAGGACAAAGAGGTAGGAGGACCCAGGGGAGAGGTTTCTGACAGTGAAGTTTCTCTCGCGTGGTGGGAAATCCACAGTGCTGTTTAAAGAAGTGTTCTTCAGCCCGAACTGTAGGCGGTAGCCTTGAATTTCTACTGGCACTGCCCGGTCATCAGAACCTGTCTCGGAGCAGTCAAGCGGAGGAGCCCACCTCACCACCGCAGACGAGCCCGATCCTGGACGCACCCAAAGGGATGGAGAGCCAGGCACTGCAGACAACAGAGTGGGAAACAGAAAATCAGTTGTAACATGCTCTCCTAAAACCATGTATCATGTAAATCTTTTAGAGGAAATTAGCATTGATCCTCTCTTTATTTACGGCACAGCTTACTGTAAGATCAATTCCTGAATGTGTTACTATATCCAGAGAGCTATATAGTTGACATATGCTTACCAATCCCTGTGGTCTGCACCAGCTTAGCTTTACTATGCGCTCCATCCCCTTTAGTGGTGTATGCAGCCACTGAGACAGAGTACAATGTCTCTGGTTTTAAACCTCCTAAAACCAGCTCCTGTAGGAGGAAAACCCATTGTCATGTAATAATCCTCTGTGTTTTAGGAAAAATTATTAGTTCACACAAAGGTTCAAACTAAATCATCAAGGAAAGTTTGTTTACAGGGATAAACACAAAACAAGGTATAAAGCACAGCACCCCAGTTTCCTAACACGCGCACACACACACACACACACACACACACACACACACACACACACACACACACACACACATACAGTCATATGAAAAAGTTTGGTCAACCCTATTAATCTTAACTATTTTTATTTCTTAATATTTGGGTGTTTGCAACAGCTATTTCAGTTTGATGTATCTAATAACTGGTGGACACAGTAATATTTCAGTACTGAATTGAGGTTTATTGGACTAACAGAAAACGTGCAGTATGACTAAAAAAAAGTTTGACACGTGCAAGAATATGGGCACCTCAGCAGAAAAGAGACATTAATATTTAGTAGATCCTCCTTTTTCCAAAAACAACAGCCTCTAGTTGCTTCCTGTAGCTTTTAATGAGTTCCTTTATCCTGGATGAAGGAATTTCTGACCATTCTTTATTCCATAACAATTTCCAGTTGCAAAACAATAAGTTTGATGGTCGCCGAGCATGGACAGCCTGCTTCAAATCATCTCACAGATGTTCAATGATATTCAGGTCTGGGGATTGGGATGGCCATTCCAGAACATTGGAATTGTTCCTCTGCATGAACGCCTGAGTGGATTTGGAGTGGTGTTTTGGATCATTGTCTTGCTAAAATATCCACCCCCGGCGTAACTTCAATTTCGTAACTGATTCTTGAACATTATTCTTAAGAATCTGCTGATATTGAGTGGAATCCATGCGACCTTCAACTTTAACAAGTTTCCCTGTGCCAGCATTGGTAACGCAGCCCAAAAGCATGATGGAATCTCCCCCAAATTTTACAGTGGGTAGCAAGTGTTTTTTTTGGAACGCTGTGTTTTTTTGCCGCCATGGATAACGCCTTTTTTTATGACCAAACTACTAAATCTTTGTTTAATCAGTGCCCATATTGTTGCACCTGTCAAATTTTGTTTTAATGCATATTGCACATTTACTGTTGTCCAATAAACCTCAATTCAGTACTGAAATATTACTGAAACCATCAGTTATTAGATATATCAAACTGAAATAGCTGGTGCAAACACCCAAATATTTAGAAATAAAAATAATTAAGATTAATAGGGGTGTCCAAACTTATTGATAGTATGTATATATATATATATATATATATATATATATATATATATATATATATATATATATATATATATATATATATAATACTATATACATATCATTCATTATGTAGGTTTTTCAACTTAAAATAGTAAAAAAGGAGACATTTTTATTTAGATTCAAATTTATTGAGATATAAATGTAAACCCCTTAAATTATCCAATGATTGCACATGTTCATGTTACTCTGTAAATCTTTTGTGTTTCTATATAGAACAACAACTAATTAGTTTTACTATGTGTGATTAATATTAATGTCTATGTTCCAGAATATAAATTAAAATCTGCTGGCTTTAGTGTATTGAAAAAATGTAATAGAAATCAAGTGCTTTGTCTGGTGGAAATAGTGCATAACTTTGTATATTCGTTATTACTATTGTCATGCATTACATCAAAGGACACGACTATCAGGTACACGTAAAAATAAAAGAAAAAATAATATGTAGTTCGAAAATGGGGAATTTGATTAAATCCACGGTGATCCAACTTGATGAGAATTGGATTTTAAAGTACCGGATTCATTCTGCTGTATGGATTGCTTGTGAGGTCATTTATTATTTCCTTGTGGGAAAACGACCGGCAGTCTGCACTCACATACTGAGTCGAATCATCCTCCTCCATCTTGTCACACAGTAGAAACACGCCCCCGTAGGCAGCCGAGACAGATGAGAGGAGGAGTGAGTCGAAAGATTAGATGAGGAAAAGAAAAAAAATTGTTTACAGATATTAGACATCAGTGTCATTCTATCTTTTAAACAGCGATTTCACCTGGGATTCATCCAGGAGAAGGTCTTTGATTCGGGGCAGGGTGCGTGATTCACCGCTCTCCACGCGGTTGAAGTGCACCTGGTACCCTCGGATCTGGCCTTGCCGTAACCGTGGCAACACAGAGCGCCACATTACACGGAGAGCTGAGGAGTTGAGTGGCTGAACGTCCACCTGACGAGGGGCAGCACCGGGCACTAGAATACACACACCCAGAACACATGCAAATGTAGAGGTAATTAAAAAGAGAAAAACACCCCAACCAGTAAATAACCAAGTAATCAATCAATACCCTTTAAGCATGATCAATGGCACACTCTCTTACCGTCCTCATCTGTTCTGCACAGTATGGGTGGGCTACTGGGTCCGATTCCCTCTGCTGTGGAGGCTGCCAGTGTGATATTGTACCAGTTCCACTTCTCCAGCCCTTCCAACACAGTTTGTCTCTGATGGGCTGCGATTAGAAACTTCTCCACCTCGGATCCCTGACTTTCACCTCCTCCTGCCTCTTCTTCTTCTCCTGTCCCAGAAACTCTCTGGTATTTGAGCTCATAACCTGCCAACTCGCCGTTCTGGGCCTCCAACTGAGGTGGCTGCCAGCTCACTCTCAGCGAGGTGGAGCTGACACTCTCACAGGACACACCCTCTGGTGCAGCTGAGGGCTCTTGGATGGATAGAGGTAAGGGAGCAAATTGGCCAAGAGTTTAGGGTATAAAAAACCAAATACAAACAAGTAACAAATAAGAGAGGGGAATATCAGAAGCAAAAGTAGGGGAAGTAAGGATAAAAAAAGGAAACAATAAGAAAAAATAAAAGTAAACTGAACTGAAAAAAAAAACATTGACTTTGAAAAAGTATTTATACCCCTTTAAGCTTTTAGGGATTTTATCCACTTTTATCAAAAACCTTAATGAATTTTTTGGGAAAATAACTGTATGTGATAAAGAAACACAAAGCAACACATTATTGCTAATTTGAATAAAAATACACAATAGTTTTTACAAATCTAGAAATATTTAAAAGAAAATAATTTGTGATGATGGTTTTTATGCAGCTCAGCCTCCTGCTAACAGGGTGGAACCGCCTGATGTTGCATTAAAGCTAAATGGCTAACAGCTTTGTTCATCTGCGGTTTTACCACAGATTATGAGTTGGATTAAGGTTTGTACTTGGACTGCATCATTCTAACACATCAGTTTGCTTTGTTCGTAATCATCTTTGCAGTGGCTGTACTAAGTTTAGAGTAGTTGTTCTGCAGAGAGCTGAACCCAGTTTTCATGTCACCTACAGCCTGTAAAAGTTGCCCACCTGTTTTTCCATCAACATGTTTCATGATGGGGATTTTTTATTCTGAGGGACACGCTGGAGTTATTCTTGACACATTGCTTCGTATTTAGGCCGAACACCTTCCATTCTGTTTTATCTGACCAAAGAGCATTTTTCCAAATGCTTGCTCTGCCTCCATACTTCTATCCATTCTAGACAATGGACTGAAAGGCTCTCTGTGAGATGTTCAAAGCTAGAGATATTGTTTTCAAAACTTTACCCCTGACCTCTGTGCTATGATTTGTTTACTTATGTTCTCTAACAAACCTCTGATGCATTAAGAGCACTTGGATTTATAGATTAAATTTAAGAGGGAAACTATACAAGACATTAGTTGCAATGGATTTAATTTTCGGTATTTAATATTTTTGAAAACTGCATATTTTTCCTCAATTTACTATCATGTTTTACAATCACATTAAATTATGATAATATACATAAAGGACTTAAAAAGGGGGTATGAATACTTTGCAAGGTTGGCTTGGAAACAAAAAAGGAAGCCACACCATTATGTAATTGCATAATGTTAGGCTTGGAGCATAATCAAATAATACCAAGACAAAAGTATTGACCTAAAGTGGACAACTTAATTATATGGAGGGTGATTAAAATCCCGATAGCCAGTAATTACTTTATCATCTGGCTATAGCTGGGAGCATGAAAGGTTTAAGGTTCATGAAAAAAAAAGTATTAACAAACATGCAACAAAATACAAAATATATCTTGTTTTCAAGGAGAGAGACACAGTTCTTCACACAGAAGAAGAAAAACACTGTACATATACACATTTTCCAACAGCAGCTTCCATGTCGGCCTAATCCTTGAGTCCTTGAGAAAATAGAGTGTGGTAAGACTTCCTCTGTTCTGACAAGGGGAAGGTCTTAAGCTTCTCAGCAAGAAGATAAAAAAGGCTAAAACAATATTACACAGTGCCAAAAATGATTTAGAAGTCAGGTTAAAAAAAAGATAGGCCCTAAGTCAGAAAGTCAGGACGGAATATAGAAAGGAAAACGTGAGGCGTTCTAACACCTTCCCGCCAATACAATAGAGATCACTCACCTTAACACATATGCAAAGGCTAAAGCACGGCGAGGTGTCCGGGCTTGTGCTCCATCTCCTGCCGTGGCTCAGGTCCGTGTGGGTGTGGGGGGGTGTCTGTCTATATGTGTGTGTGAGTATGTGTGTAATAGTCACAGCTGACAGGTTCAAGTATCTATTCACTCAGCCGTGCAGCCACTGTTCTGCTGGCCTCGGGGGACAATCTAGATGTGCACCAAAGCTTGGCGATAACAAAGCACACCTAACCTCCCTGGGAAATGAATTCTACTGCATGAAACAGTCTGCTTATCAAGCACCTTCTTTTACCTCTCTCAAAGATATGCCCCCCGCTCCTTCTGCTTTGCCCCTTTCAGCCCACCACCCAGGTCTTACTATTCATTTGGGGAGCTTTCTGCTGCTGAATAATTGTAAATACTTGAATTAACAAAACTTACCATATTAGAATGTTAGAAGCCAGAGGACTCTATCACAGCTGCAAAGTACTTTATGAATTCTTTCCCTTGTTCCATTTTCTGTTATCATTTTGTCCTCTTCAGGGCAAATTTGATTTTGTATCACAGCGCAACACGGCGGATGGGTTTGAGCCTTATCCGCTATCAGTGTTTGTGTAGAAAAGTGAGAAAAAAAGAGACAGGGGAGAGAATCCAAGTATAGTATGTGGTAAAATACATACTGGGTGGCACTTACCTGTCATCATAACAGGCCAGGCGACCGTCCTTTAATACACTACACCACTGGTTGCGAGCCAGTAAATGGAAGGAAGTTACTGCCTTTCAAAATGCATTATACTGTACACTGACAGAGCAGAAAAAGTACATAGATAGCCCAAAAAACATTATGCTGAGCTCTTTGTCTCCAGCTGTCATTTTGTTCTAACTGGGAGGGGAAAGAGAGACCTCTCAGTGGAAGGTAGTCACAGTTAAAGGTGTACGGATGGATGGGAGGAGAAAAGCATAGACAAATGGGATGAGAATGGAGACACATGCAGAGAGTCTGAGATGGTCCCGGGTTATATCATATCAGCAGCTGAGGAAACGGCGACATGTGTGGGTGTATGATTTGGCAGAAAAAATAAATGCCAAGGAGGTAAAAATGACAGTTAAAATGTGCATGATATGCTCGGTACGCCGTTTGTGTGAGAGTTTTAAATAAAATTTATAAAACATACTGGCTTGGGATGTCCTCTGCACAACTTCATTGGTGAACGCTCCGATGCCTTTGTTGGAGATGGCGGCCAAGGAGAAGGAGTACTCAGTGTTTGCTTTTAGGCCCTCAACTGTGAAAGAGTTCCTCGGCTCAAGGGTCAACTTTGCCTGTGGTTGGAGAGCAGAGCGGTGTAGCGGTGCAGAACGACAAGGTTAATTTCTTACATTTCCCCTTCTTATTTCACCTTCTACCTCTGAGGTGGTAATATAGAATATTTTGGCTGGCTCACCACATATAGAAGCAGCTGTACTGCCTTATATATCATTATTCGTGGCCTTATAATCCTAGCAGTACATGCTGAAGGTCAAGTATGAATCTTGGCAATAACAAGTTTTCTAATGGCTGATTCGTACACAATTAGATGATATGTTAAAAAGTTTTGACATAAACAGAGAACGTGTGTATAAACATTCTTTCCAGTGTCAGAGCAACCCTGGCTTTGACCAGCACATGTGAATTCCAGTAAGATTTCGACATAATATTCTGTTGTGCATGTGCATCTACAGTACGTAATGCGATATTAAGACTATAAAACAGCCTGAGATGAAATAAGAGTTGGGGGAAAACTGAGATGTCTGACGATGTAGCGCTGAACTTATGAAGTGTTTAAGACAGCAGTAGGAATTGAAAATGTAAATAAATGTTTCCCCCCCCCTCCGGAGGACAAAATGATGTGAATCGTGTTTCCTTATTTCTGTTATAAGAGAATTCTACCAATGAGCTTCCACAGTACAACATCCACTGTACAAAGAGCGGCAAATAGGCTCACCAAGCTGCCAAACTTGACAGGTTTGTAGAGTAGCTCGTAGTTGACTATTTTCTCCTTGGTGTATGCAGGTTCCCAGATCAGCTCGATGCTGGTGTCTGTCACCTTCCCAACTTTAAACTTGACTGGTTGACCTGGAACTGAAAAGGAGCAGACAGCACAGCTAGTCAGTGCTCTGTATAAGGGCATCTAAAAAAAACAAAAAACTGGGATTTTTCTTTAAGGTTAAATTTTTAAAATGCTGTTTTATCAAACTGTTTTGCACTACAAGCGGACCTCCACACTCACTAGTGCCTCAGCTAATGATGTGTCGAGAGGCATAAAAGACTAATTTTTATTCCAAACTTTTTCAGTTGATTTTTTTAGTGGAAATATTATCCCAATACTGACCACCTGTAAAAAGGGGCATTGCTGCCATTAGCAATTAAAAGAGATAACTTCAGTGTTCATGCTGTAACCTCTGAAAATATGACGCTTCTAACAAAAAAAAAAGCTTGTGCAGTCCCAACTGCAGACTGCAATTTGAGCATTCACATATATATATATATATATATATATATATTGTTTTATAAGTAGTCCACAACCTTTAGTCTGCTTTGGGATTAAAAAGCAAATTACAGGTGTGTTCCCCTTCTCTTCTAAACTTTTAATTTTGGTTAGTTTCAGGAGCGTTGTGCTCTGTTTGTTTGGTCGTATTACAGCTTCTGGTCTCTGTGTGTTTAGTTTATCTTCAGTTGTACATTTCCTGTGTCACTGTGCTCAAGTTTCTCAGTCAGCCGCTTCCAGTCTATTAAATAGCAACCAACCTGTCTCTTGTTTCGCCTATTGTCTCTCCTCGAAATACATTCCCATGTGGTCCATAAGGTCTTTGATAGTTCCTTCTTTTGTAAGAAGTCTTTGTTTTTTTTTTCATCTGAACTTGGAATTAACTCCAGTGTGCTTTTTATTCAATTACTTTATTTTTACACCAACCTCTGTCTCAGACACAGAGGCTTATTATTTTTAGACACTCTACAAAATGAGAAGGACAGTAAGGCAGATATGTGTTTATATTCAGAAGAAAATAGCCTCTTGCCCAAACTTGCCAATATCTGTGGCTAACAAAGCATCGAACGTTGCTTAAGTGTGCCCTTCACACACAGTGATCATGATTGTAAAGGAAGTGCTGCAAAGAATGACCTTTACGGGATCTCTGAGCTTTCTGTTCAACCATTTTACCTTATTTACATGCAAAGCAGCTGTTCTGGAGATATGTCATGGGAAAGTCTATTAGGTCTGAACATCAAATATGTCCAGTTTGCTTAAAAATCCTGGCGCTTTAACTAGAGCTGTGCACTATGGTAAGTTGAGACTAGAAGCAGACCAGGTGGTTCTGGCATGAAATTTGAAAAGTACGGTGGAGGACCATTACTGCTATGGGCCTGGTTCCCTTCCAAAGGTCATTTTGACCTTAGAGTCGAGGAAATCTGAAATATTGGTATATATAGAGTAAAAAAAAAACATTTCCCCAACTTAAAAGCAGTATATATGTCATCCCTGTGTATTTGAGTGGGCTATTAACCCAAAACATTCAGTCAAATAAGAAAAGGAATGTTTCACCCGACACAAAATAAACCTTATCTGATGGCTTCCTCAATTCTAGACTTAAAACTATAAAGAATAGTGTGCAATGAGCTAATTATAGAACCGATAATGAGAGCACTAAGGACTTTGGATGATCAGTTTTGGTGCGAGGGAGAAGGGCAAGAAATGGCTCTCTCTGCATGCCCCAACCACATAAAATGTTACAGAAGCAGATTAAGTCCTGTCATATTAGCAATGTCAGAAATGCTGGATGGACTATATCAGCGACACTTACTAAAGCCTGGTTTATGATTCAGTGTCTGTTGTTTAGAACTGAACAACCGAATTACAAACTTTTAGTACCTGTGCGGTGTCTGTGAGCCAAACATTTCTGCACTGCCCACCCAGATAACCATGTAGCTACGCAGACAGCTCAGCATTGAAAAACATGGAGGACATGCAACAGCTTCTACTGATGAAGGTTCACAAATATAAAGATATGGGCACATCTTCCGATTTGGTCCGTAAATATAACAACCATCAACTTATTGCGAAAACACTTGGTAAAAAAGTTACTGAACCCTGGATGACACGAAGAAGGTTTGAAAATGTTGGAATCAGCTGAGTTTTTTACTTCTATATGTTGTTATAAGGTTTTGGTCCATGCAAAGGCCCAGCTAGTGTCGATGGGAAATATTAGGTACAAGCTGGGTATGCAGGTGCGCGGAGTATAAAGGCTGCAGAATTGTGTCCAGGCATCTCGTTTCCACATAGAATATATATATGCGTCAAGCATAATTGTTTAATAAAGTTTAGGGGTTATAGTTAGGTTAAGGGATGGGTTGGTGGTAAGTTTTAACTTCACAGCTCATGGAAAAGTTTAAGGAAGTTCCTTCTAAGCCTGTTATGAACCCTGTGCGTCAGTTACTGATATGACAGGGATACCCCGTCTAATGCACAGGGGATACATCACATATTGACCGAGCGTCAATATGTGACAAGTTGGGGGTGAGAATGTACTGATTAAGCACCAATACAACCACTGATTGTGGCAATAACAATAGGGTTAATGTTTAACCAACATTTGTTTTACCTTAACACAATGTCTCTAGCACTCTTCATAAGGTTCAGAATCTCAGCCACTAAAGATGTACATCAGGTGCCTCTAGATACGTAGCTGAGTGAAGTTAAACAACTGGGCAGATATATCAATGGTATGGAGAGCAGGATAGTCAGTGTCAGCAAATCAAAGCTTTAAACAAAGGAATGAAAATAAAACTGGCGATTGGCTGCAACATTTTGGTTGTTACATTTCTATTAAGAAAGCCAACTAAGTTTTTAGTCTATATCTGCTGCTGTTGCTCATAGTGTGTCAACCACTGTAATACATTCTGTTTTCAAAAAGACCTTTAAAAAAAACATTTATTTTCTTTACCTCCACGCAAAACTTTTACATGCACAGGATCTGAAAAAGGGCCATCTCCTACGGAGGTGAAGGCAAGGACCTGGATGGTGTAGGTCTCTGAGGTGATGAGGTTCTGAATGGTGGTGATCAAGCTGTCCTGTACATTGTGAATCTGCCACTCATTAATGGGTCGGGATGGGTCCATGGTGTAGTACACACGATAGCCTTTCACCTAGAAAGGAGCAGAGATTTAGTGAGATGGAAAGAGAGAGAAAGAGAGAATGTAACCCTGTATCAACTAAAGTTAAGTCCTTTTGCTTTAAAATCAGATTTTTGGGTTATTGGGGACAGAGTTTTTTTATTTGGTCTAATCCCTCAGTAATTCAACAATGATAATCCATAATACCATGTATTAATACAGCTGGACTTTACAAAAGCTGAGGTTGTTATCGATTATACTTCAGACTGTTCTGTTTAATTTGTGCTTAACATGTTTTTTCCCCCCATAGAGATTTTAAACATCTGCCACAATGAAGAGTAAAGTGGATAAAACAAATGAACTGGTTCTGGCCTTTAAGATGTAATCACTCCACCTCTACCCATTTGGGATTTCTGGAAAGACAGTAGGTAGGTCAGAGTTTATGTAATCCCTCTGCCATGCCAACTCTCTAAACCGCAAGGTCTCACACCTCCCCTGCTCTAGCTCTTTAATATCTATAATCCCCATATGCACTCAATTCGGTCTTGTGCTTTTATGAACTCGCTGTTCAGTTAGAAAGGCTTGAAAAAGGAAATAGGCCTCAAGAGGAAGGGCTCTCAACTTAGAGTGGACAGTCCAATTAGCTTTTCCTTTTTTAGAGAATAGAAAAAGTAGCAAGAGACTTACAGAGCCAAAATCTTTGGAAAGATGCATATCTTAGAACAGGAACCTGCACAATATATTGTAACTCATATTTAAATGAAAAGGATGTATTATTATTTAACTTTTTTATAAAACATCTCCAGAGTATTCAAAAGTAAGACTTTTCTAGGAGCTTCTTGTGAATATGGTCGAGAATTTCCCCCCATCTTATTTAGGTCTTTTTACCTTTTTATATGCAGTCGAACAATATCGACGTTACAAATACTAAAAAATATGATTTATTCACCTACCCTTGGACCATTGTTTTTCATGATTTCAACCTGTAGCATTCAAGCATATGCAGATGACACTAGTTCATATGTGTGCTTCCATACAGTGGTGGAAATAAGCTAATGACACACATGGATAATGTTAAAATCAGTTATACTTCAGATCTAAGGGGTGTTTCATATGGCAGGTCAAGTCTGGCTTACTTTGAGGTCATTTAAGTCTGATAACGCTAGCTCGCTCTTAAGGGCTGGTTATACTCCCGCAGCAGTGTGTCGCAGTGAGCTTGTTGCAGATATTTTTGATTTATGCCCAATATTAAAGCACGGTCTGCGCCATGTTATTCCACGCCACAATGCAAGAGGGAGGAAGTGTAAAAACGCAAGGGGAAAGTTTGTACGACAACTGAGGGACATAAGGGCGAAAAAGAGCGGGGATCCTGGTGGAAAAAGGGTCCCAGTGGTCTTGTGCACCTCACTCTTCTAGCTAGTCCATCTTCACGATTTGTTTTCCACAATGGTGGTCATATAAACAAAACAAGCCGGTAAGGTACCAAACAGTTAATACGCATAGTGTAGAGCGGATGTAGACTTGGCAAATCAGATGCTTCCTGTCTGCAGCACTGTCTGCGGTCACCTACAATTTTGGAGAGGTGCACCAGAGTGTGCAGAGGGGCCGGGGGCACATTTGCGTTCACTGTGACACACACGCAGACGATCTGGTTTATATAAATGGTAAAGTATAAATCAGCCTTTAGTCTGACTTGATGGAAATTGACCAAGTGATCTCAGTCTGGTCAGGACCAGGTTTAAAGCTGACCTT